GCCCAGCCTCACCCAGACTCTGCCTCCAGCGGCCCCCGGGGACATTGAGTTTCAGACCCCTGATTTAAGAGTTTCTGGAATTCTTAGATTTTCCCTCGGGGATTAAAAGCATCTCAGTTCTTCAAACACTTCAGGAAAACGCTAATAAGATGTGCTTAGCAACTTAATTATTAGCTAAGGGGATGAAATGTTGCAGTAGAGAGTCGGAGCTTCAGGGTGAAGCAGGAATGTGGAGGATAGACGGGAGCTCTGCCAGTAGCAGGTTCTGGATTCTCAGATCGCTTTGTTTCCATCATCGGTTCAATATTTTATTCCTGACCTTCTCGCTTTCATTGCAGATTTATCCAAACCTTAAACAACCGAGTAAAGCATCATAAATAAACTCTATTATTATAAACATAATCTGTTTGGAGACGGTGAAGCAGAAATGCTCCCTGTTGTTTCCTCTCCCAGCCTTACATCAACCCCGTCCTCCTGATGGCGCTAGTGAGCTCGTTACCTGAGTCAGGCACTTCTGAACAAAGACAACAAACTGTCTGAAATTCTGCTTTTAATTATTTTCTTATAAAACAAAGAGACATAAGAAATGATATAAAAACCAACAGAGAAACAAAAGCAAGAAGTTCTTCAGTTACAAACCAGAAAAATAATCGCCCCTGGAGTCAACCTGCAACCGGGGCAACCAGGCTGCTGTTGGGCTTAGAGTGCCGTTTGTAAAGTTACAGTCAGAAAATTAACAGCAATAATTTGCATTGTCTTGTCATAAAGAAAACAATGTGATTCATTTTTCAGTCATATTTTCGTCATGTTGCTGTTTTTATTAATTCACAAGCTAAATATTTAACTTTCAAATTTAATATTTATCTCGCCATCTAGCTGAAGCTAAATATTTGGTTAGCAAGCTACCTACTTAACTAGCTAGCTAAATTTAGAGCTAGTGAAACTGCAGCTCAGAGGAGGAGCTGCGCCTCGAAGGCGGGGCTAGGTCCAACCAGGCGCTTATGCAGCTGAATGGTTGCCATGGAGATTAACAAATTTCTCAAACATGCATGAAAGAATCTAGGAATGTTTCTGATGATGGAGCATAACAAGATTCAAAGCTCAAAAAGTCGATTTTGCATGATGCTGTTTAGTTTCTATGATGACTTATTTTCTGTCATCAGTTTGTTTATAATTTTATTCCTGTTTATTTTCCTCATAGTGAAATATTAGTTAATGTGCAAATTGGCTTGCCGTTAAGAGGAAGTGACATATCAAAAGAAAAACTGGGCTTTCGTCGCCCAAGTTGCTTTTTTCATCATCGATTCCTTTCAGTTTCTGGATCAACTTCCTGCTGGTTCAGAAAACAATTCAGATTAAAATGAATCAACATTTGGTGTAAAAACGTTGAAGAATCAACCAAGAAACTAAATATGAATGACATGGTGAAACCGACATGTTCTCTATGAACACAGCAAGTCATTGCTGTTCGTTTTTTGCAGCAACTTTACAAATGGCAACTGGCTGCGGGACGTGCTTCAGCTGCAAACAGTCTGATAAAAATGGCGGCAAGGCGCGGAGACGCTCTAGTCCGGAACCCAGAACAGAAACCGGAAGCTGCACCTGGACTCCAGGCTGCGGGTCTGATCCAGGTGATTCCAACCGATCCGGACCCATCAGCACACCTGGACCTGGTCGGTCCGGTTCGGTTCGGATGGTTTCCAGGAAGAACAGTTTGTTCTGCTGATGTTTGACTCCAGTTCCAGAACCGGAACCTCTCTGAGCCTCGCTCATCTTCAGTGGGCGGAGCCTGTGCTGTGATTGGTCGGATGGAGGCTGAAGAGTTTTTCTTCAACAGAAACGTTTTGTTGCCTTTTTTTCTGGTTTTTGGATCAGCACCGGTTCCTTCCTGATCCGATCAGAACCCTGATGTTCTGATCATGACTGGGTTCCTCCTGCTTTCCGTTTCAAAATGTTTCCATGTTGGTTTTATTAGCGTCCCCTCAGATCAGGAAGGGAATCAGGTTTTAAGTTGGAAATGTTTTATTAATAGAATAGCAGATTTAACAGATTATGTGGCATCTAAAGCCGACCCGGATCAGAACCGCTGGTCCAGATTAGAACAGCAGTAAAACCAAAGCCACTAAAAACTAAATATTAAATATTTATTTTATTATAGTTTAGATAAAAGTGTAGAAACTCCAACATTTTTCTGACTTTTATTGTGTAGAAACCGAAAGTGTAGAAACCCTGTCATGATGACTTCCTGTTTTATTTTGAAATAATGCTGCCCTCTGCGTGGTTCCCCTTCATGGGAACGGGCCGGTACGGACCCGGTCCTGTTGGTGTTGGAGTGAACCTGCTCAGCTCCTGCAGCAAATCTGCCCTTCAGCAGCGGTCACGATGCGTTCAGGTGAATCTGATCTACGAACTCCGTCCGTCCGGCGCTGCAGGAACTCCATGTTTAGTGCAATTAGCGGCTCAGCGGCTCCCCCTGCAGGCTCCCCGCTGAGGTGCATGATGGGAAAAGGCCTTAGAGGCGGGGCTTGACCAGGCTCCGCCTCCGGTGGGAACCGGACCGACTCGGAGCACCTCTGATGGAGTAAAGGTCCAAAGAACCGGCGCCAGAACCGCTCTGAGTTCCGTCTGGTACTCTGGTTTGCTCCCAGTAAGAGGCTGAGCCAGCTGGGCATTAGGACTCGGGTCGAAGGTCAACATATTTCTGAAAGAGATTCAGGCCGTTACAAACCGCCGCTACAAACAATCTGACGATGTCTAACGGAACCAGAACCGGCTCGCACTGGGCGGGTCACACTGGGCGGGTCCAGAACCAGAACCACGGCAGGCCCACCGGTCCAGAACCAGAACTGGGTCGGGTCAGGCTGGGCAGTGGATGAAGAAAAGCAGGAAGACTGGTGGTTCCGGTGTTATTGCTGTCACCGCGGCTGCAGGAAGCTCCGCCCACCACGGTGAAGCGACGGTGTCCTCACCGGTCACATGACCTCACCCTGCCGCTGGACGTGGTTTCCATGGCGACAGCCCGCAGCAGCCCCGACTCCACTCTCTGAGGGCATAATCGGCTGCTGCTCCACCTGCCCGCAGGCCCCGCCCCTTCCAGGTGGGCCAGCTCCGCCCACAAAGCAGAGAGGTTAGCGAAGAGTCCGGTCGGCGTTAGGGTCTGAGTTTTATAAAAACGGACATCACTACGAAAAAATGCATCAGCCGCTTCCAGATAAAGTGCTTGGTTACGTTGTTACGTTGTTTCCAGTTCCGTATTAAAATATCGTCGTTTTCCCTGGAGTGAAACCATAGTAAACATGTTACACTAAAAATAAACTTCTGGAATGTCTCTGCAACAAGTCCCAGTTTGGTCAAGCCGAACTCGTCCCTGGAGCCTGAAACAGGAAACGTGGAGATGGTTAACTTCCTGTCTGCAGCTGAACGAGCTAATCACCTGGCTAGCAGGTTAATGAGCTCGTTAAGGAACTGGTTAACCAACATGTTAATTAGTTAATTAACTAGCTTAAGAATCTTGTTATTCAGTTTAACCAGCTCGTTAACGCTCAGTTTGTTAACCCTCAGTTCGATATCCCTCGGCTCGTTAACCCTCAGCTCGTTATGTGACGGTTCCTGGAGGACCCAGCAGGTAACAAGTTTCCAATGATTTTATATATATATATATATTAAAATATTAAAAGTCAATTTAAAGGTAGTTCTGGTTTTGGTTCTGGATGGATCAGATCAGATTTCAGTTCTGAACTCAGGTGGCTGATCTGGGTTCAGGTTCATGTCTCCTCTGCTGTGGAGCAGGAGGTCAGCAGCTCCCAGCAACAGGAAGTGACCTCAGGGTTTCTACCTGCCGAGTCCTGGTCGGGTTGAAAGCATCATGGCGACCAAATCGAGGCGGAACAGAGACTCAAACACAGAGCTGCTGGAAGATTTTTATAAAAATATTCTCCATATAAAAGTACAAAAGTAAAAAAGAAGGAAACATAAATAGTTCAAGCAGCAGCGTGATGACGACGATGATGATGATGGAGGTGATGAAGCATGCACTAGTGTTCATCCAGGGTTAGTCTGTTCTTAGCACGCAGCAGTGATGACAGCTGACTTGGAGGCGGACTCGGCGAAGGGGGCGGGGCTTGGCGCGTGCAGCAGGCTGACGACCAGGAAGAGGGTGGAGGTGGGCAGGCAGACGCAGAGGAAGAGGACGACGTCTTCGCTGAGGCAGAGGACCAGGTCGCTCTGCTCCGCCAGCACCCAGTCCACCAGCACCCCCACCAGGAGGCAATACACCTGGAACTCCTGAAGCTCCTCCCACTCCCCGCCCTCTCCCCAGTGTGGCCCCGCCCCCAACGCGGACGAGCCGTTCCGCCTGGCCACGCCCCCTCCGGCACCGCGATCACTCACCATGGGCTTCATCTCTGCCCCCTCTGACGCTGCCTCTTTCACCCGGCTCCGCCCACGTCCACCCGCTCGCTCCAGCCGCCGACTGCTCTCCACGAACTCCTGCAGGGGCGGAGCCACAATAGGCATGTGAGGTCACCGTGTGGGTGGGGCAACAAGCAAACATTTACATGACAAAGTAGGAACCTCAAAAACATAAAACCTGAATCAAAGCTGATCAGACCTACCGTTCCTGATTGGATAAAAACATCAAAGGGGCATGGCTTATTGTTGGGAACCAATGAGAGTGCAGATGTCAAACAAGCCTTTGTTCTTTGATCACTTGATGTTCTGGTTCAGTGACTTGTTCTGAATATAAATTGTTTAATATAATTACATCTACTGGTCCCACAATGCACTGCAGGGACAGGAAGGACACTCTGTGATGTCACACTTATTACAATTTGATTGGATGAAGGAATAAACCTGAACCCAGATTTATTCAGAGTTTCTGTAGAAAGAACCTTCCCTGACAGCAGACCGCTAGCCAAACGCCACTGATCAGCACTGAGAAACGCAGCTTTTGCCACCGCTGGATGCTATCACTAGCCCGACGTGGTGCTGGAGAATCAGAGCCTGCAAGCCGCTAGCCAAACCCACTGCAGCCGCTAGCCGAGAAGCTAACTCCTGGTTCCAGGCACAGGTTGGCTAGTGCCATTCCTCTAAGCTCATCCCATCCAGTGGAGTTCTGATGGCTGAGCAGTACAAATAGCTGAAGATAATTATTTTATTGGATTTTTTGTATTTTTATGGTGTTTATATCAGTTCCGAACGGAGAAGGTTGCGTACGTGGTAGCTTAAAGCTGACCTAAGGTAAGTTTGGGTGTTATGGGTTTTTTCTTTCTCTTTGAAGCCACTAAGTTAAATGAAATATCCCCAAGCCGTTTCTAAAATGCCCTGTTTTCCTCTACCTCGCGGGAGCTTAGCTAGATGTGGCTAAGCTCACCATCAGAGCTTTGTCCATGAAGAACTCCTTCCCGGGGGTGCCATCGTTGTACTTGGTGTCGATGGCAAAGCACAGGAACAGGACGTCCACCACGATCTCGAAGATGGACAGGAAGCAGTGGGCCACCAGGAAGGAGAAGAGGCAGACGATGATGAGCGGCAGCAGCCACTCGGCGTAGTCCCGCTGGTAGTTGAGGAGCAGGACGCCGGCGAATGCTGTGCATGTCATGATCAGGACCTGAGGAGACACGACATCCTGAAGCAAAACTGTTGTCGTGACAACAGCTTAGGGTCTGTTTATCTGTGCTACTCATAAATCCGTCCTACCTTGTGGTAATGCATGCTGTGTTAATCAGGACAAAATATGTTGTTTTGTGGGCTTTTTTGTCCCTATACTTTGAAATATTTGAGTTTAATTACACTCTTTTTTTTACTAAAGTTTGCTAAATAGATGTTAGTAGTGATACTATGTGAGATTGAAGCTGTGTAATAGCTGTGTAATATCAGTGTATTAATCATATCCTATCATTTCAGTGACCTGCGCAGTTCGGTGGACACATTGTGGCTGCGCTGCTGCTGATAATAGACACACAACGTATTAATGCGCAAAACAGAGTTGCGGTGATATGTGTCTGTTTAATTCCAATTAACAGCCTGTCTGATACCGTTTTATTCTTACAAACGCCTCTGTATTTAAAATATTTTTATCAGGCAGGGTATTCTAATAAAATGATTAGTGCATAAATCTATAGTTGTTCATTTTAAATGTATATAAATTGTTCCAATGCTAAGCTAAGCATAACTCCTAAGCTTCCACTTCAGTCCCGTCACTCAAATAATGTTATCCAATGTATTTAAATTAACATCCCGCTGTAGTTTTCTGTTTGTAAACATGACAGTAGGAGTTTTGGACGCGTGGCACCGACAGGTAGACTTAGCTATCTATCTGGTAGGAACATCTGACGAGGTAGCTCTCATAGTCAGAACACCGGCATCCTGCATGTTTTAGTTCCATCCCTGGTTCAACACAGCTGGATCAAATGATGGCTCATTAGGAGGTTTTACTTCCTCCAGGGAGAGAACTGAAATATTCAGGATGCCGACCCTC